AGGTTTCCATTATTATAATGGAATATTGAGGCATCCTTGCTTTCAACCTTTTCAGTTCTGCCAGCTAAATGCCATGGCAAATACTTGGCTCTGTGAAAATGGCCATTGAAGGGGTGTACTTAGGATATGTTACGCTGTTGCAAATGTGCATTATGGGTATGGTCACACTGTAAGATGTCCTTAAGCATCACAAGAGAGGATCTGGGACAGCACGAAGGCAGTCCCTAAAATGAAGAATGTGGAAATAGGCTTTTTTCATCACATTTGATCAGAATTTACTGAATTTCTCGTGCAACCAAACATCTGCCTTAATCATAAGGTAGGATTAGACTCGGTTCCTGCTCCTGAGCATCTCACAATCTTTTCAGAAGACAGATACGCAACCATAGGTCAATGTGACACGTTACAATAATATATAAATTACTCTGTGGAAATACTAACTCTTCCCTTACTTCCTCCTCCAGCCCCTAAAGAAAGGCTCAGAGGAAGTTATGGAAGAGAGTGACATTTAGAGCCAGCTCTGGAAGGATGGAGAGAAGTTCACCGAGAAGAGAAGATGGAACAGAATGGACAGTAGCAAAGAGGCATGAAATTGCCTGGAGAGGCAGGGAATGATGAATGCTCGTCCAGCGTGACTATAAGGTATTCAGGGAATCAGAGACAAGACTGGAAAGACAGTCCTGGATTCAGCTGTGGTAAGTCCTGTATATGAGGCTAAAGAAATTGATCATTATTTTATAGGCAATGGGGAAGCAGCAAACAGCTGTAAACAGAAAAATGATATGTTTGAGTCTCTTTTTTATATCATGTTGGAGCTCCTAGAAGTGAAGTTTGGGGCCGTGCTTAGGAGACACAGATTTGAGGGTTAATGACGTTCTTCTCTGGAGTAATGCATAGTGAGCATCAGCATGAACATACGTCAAAGACACTTAGATGCTAGTAATATTTTTTACCCAGTAGGACAAGTTAATCTCATATTCACTCATCAGAGTTATTAAGTACATATCACATACTTGGTTCCCAGTGTGTTCAAGATTTGGAGCACAAAAGTGGTAACCCATTGCCCCTGCTTTGTAATGAATTTATAATCTACTTGGGAGTGAACCATACATGCATGAAAAGTAAAATAACACAAAACAGTGTATTATTAAGTATCAAGGGGGCATCATAGCAAATCGGTGCCATAACAATTACAAAGAGAAAGCAATAATGATTAGCTGTAATTTTCAGGAGGAAGTGGGACTGAGGCTGGTCTTTTAAAGAGGGTTAGAATTTAGGGAGGTATGCATTCATAAATAAGACAGGTGGGCAACTAAAGAAATTCCCTTGTACAGGGATAAATGTGATCACAGAGGCCTGCTGAGGATCACACAGAGGGCCACAAAAATCAGAGTTTTGTAATGAGGAGAAAGATTAAGAAGGGCTTCCCAGAAGAGGTATCCCTTAAGCTGAGTTTTGGTGGACAAGTAGGAGAATAGCTAGATAAAATAGGGAAATATCCACATATGCAAAAGCATAGAGATATTAAGAACTTGATGCATTCAGGCAAATAGATGGGAACTGCAAATACCACACAAGGCTGGAGTGAGGATGAGTTTGTGGAAGAGGCGGGAAATGAGGCTAAAAAAAGGTAGACGGGGACCAGGAAGTACGAGACCTTATGTGCTAATAAAAGGAATTTAATTTTCATTGTGAAAGTTATTGGAGGATTTTAAAGTGTGGGATGAAGAGTGTCATGATTTTAGAAAGATCAGGGGCACCTTGGTGGCTCAATCGGTTCAGTGTCCTACTCTTGATTTTGGCTCAGGTCATGATCCCAGGGCCATGGGACCGTCACACATCATTCCAGACCGAGCATTGAAACTAAATCTTCTTCTCTCTCTCTCTCCCGCCCTCTTCCCAGCCTAGAAAAGAGTTGTTATGAAAGTTGTTGAAAAGAAAGAAAGAAAGAAAGAAAGAAAGAAGAAAGGAAAGAAGGAATGAAAAGGAAGGAAGGAGGGAAGGAAGGAAAGAAGGAAGAAGGAAGGGGAAAGGAAGGAAGGAGGGAGGGGAAGGAAGGAAGGAAGGAAAAAGGAAGGAGGGAAGGAAGGAATGGGAAAGGAAAGGAAAGGAAAGGAAAGGAAAGGAAAGGAAAGGAGGAAGGAAGGAAGGAAGGAAGGAAGGAAGGAAGGAAGGAAGGAAGGAAGATCACACTACAAATAGTGTAGAATGACTTTGAAGGTTTCTGACCAGATGCCAGTGCCATTCACCAAGGAATACTCAAAGAGCAGATCGAGGGGAAAGATTTTCAGTTCAGTTTTTGGATGTGTTGAAGGGCTACTGTAACAAATTACCACAAATTTGATGGCTTCAAACAATAGAACTTTATCTCCTCACCGTTCTGAAGGCTAGAATTCAGAAAATCAGCAGGGTTGGTTCCTTCTGAATGAATCTGTTCCATGGCCTCTCTCCTAGCTTCTGGTGACAAGTCTTGGCATGACCTGCCTTGTAGAAACATTACCCCTCCAATTTCTGCCTCTGTCTTCACATCATCTTCTCCTCTGTGTCTTTGTCCTCTCCTCTTCTTTTAAGGACACCAGTCATGAGACTTAAAACCCAACCTAAATCCAGGGTGATCCTTAAATTAATTATATCTGTAAAGATCCTATTTCCAAATAACATCACAATTGCAGGTACTGGGGATTAAGACTTGGATATCTTCGTAGGGGGACACTATTCAACGCATTATAAAGTGAATGCAGGAATAACTGTCTTCATAATCTGACCAGAACTCTAGCCTCGGTTTGCACGCCCACAGGCAAAAGGAAATGTAGAATTAAAGACTGTGTTATGTGGCAGAAAGAGCAAAGACTGTAGGTCAGATAGACCTAAATTCAATCCAGGCTCTGTATCAGTTGAAAACTTGGTAGGCTTTTAACCTCTAGGAGTCTTGATTTCTTCATTTGTAAAATGGGGATAATAGGACCTAAACGTGAGATTGTCAGGGTAATTAGAGAGACATTCCCAGGTATGTGTAGACTCTACATGTTATTTACAAAACAAGACCAAAAAAAGCTTGAAGATAACACATTTGGGAATGACCCACATTAACAATGGGGTCATGTGAGTATATTGGATCTCTTTAAAGACTATAGCAATTGACATCAAGAAGAATTGTGAAGTGTCCTGTCAGCTGGAGATCAGCAATAAGGACTCCAAGAAAAGGTGATTTTTCAGAGAGTCAGGGGGCATTTGGCATCAGGAAATTTAGTTGTCAGGTATTTCACCACCTAAGTGGAAGAGAAGTCGGCAAAATAAAGGCAGGGCTTCTGGTCTTAGAAACTGGGGTGTCAGGCAGATTTCTAAAACATTTATGAAGTTTCTTCGCTATGCTGGGCATTGCAAGTAAAAGGATATGTAAGACATGAACCTTCCAGAATAAGCTCCCCATCTCAGGTGACATCAGACAGGTAAACAAGATAAAATACAATGCCACATAAAGTGCTACAAAAGACAGCGCAGTTAATTAGGGGATGGACCAGCTAAAAACTGCCTGTGGAAGCCTGGGGAGGCTTTAGAGGGAATGTGACATTTGAATGGATTCTTGGAGGATGAATAAGAGTGCGCTTGCCAGAGAGAGAAAGAGAAGCTCTCTCCAAGCAGAGGAAAAAGAGGCAAAACATATAGGATGTAAGGACTGTGGTACCAGAGCTGGAGACAGGAGCTGAGGATCAGTCAAAAGCCCAGTTATCTGAGTTGATAACTCAGCTCTGGGACCAGAGCCAGAGTGTTGAAGACTTATTGCTGACTCCAAGAGCTTTGGGCTGTAATTTACAGTCGTCCTGGTTAAGATGCAGGTTTATCCTAGAGATCCCAGCAGGACTGAGCAGAGAGATGTGAGTCAGTGGTTCTAGCATTCAGGAAAGAAGATACACAGAGATTGATGACCAGTGTGCTACTGGCATCAGCCAAAATCAGGACAGACGGGAAAAGTTTGTAAGGGATTTATTATGCGACAGATTACCCAATTTAAACTTCACAACAATTTCTGATGTATAGCAAGCAGAGCAGCGAAATAACAGCTCCAAGTCATCAAAAAGCAAAACTGACCTAGTTCCTAGAGAAAGAAAGCTTGTGCCAGCTGGTCTCTTTGTGTTTCCTGCTGACTTAGGCAGCCCTGGGGCCCAAAGATGCTTTCTAGAAGTCTGTTTCAGCTACCTAAGGAACAGCAACCTTGGTTGCTACTGCCCTCACTGCATTTTAAAAAGGCAACCAAACAAAAAAACAAGTAACAGCAAATTAAGAGGAGTGTTGGATTATACTGACAAGGAACAAGGAATGTATACTCAAAGTCTTGTGCATTTTGGATGGCACGTTCCGGGTGTGCAGAGAATATCTGTTAAATTAGGTTCCCCAGACTTACCGCCCCGAACAACACTGTCTCCATTACTACATGGAAAATCCACCCCCAGTACCACAGAAGAAAGCGCCAGACTTCATAGGCCCTCTGAAGTTAAGAGGCATCCCTAAAGCGATTTTCTGTCCTCCTTGAAGACGCTCAGTTTCCAAGATTTTAGCTGGCTAATTGGCAACTTGTCAACGTCGGTGTATATTGTCACTACCGCCCGTCCCCGGGTCCTCTCCAAGACGCCCCTTCCCACCCTGGCCAGGGAGACCCCGGCCCATCAACCAAGAGGACGGCACCAGCTCTCCGTGACGGCAACGTAGGGGGAAGGGAGCGGGGCGCTCCTCTTTTTGAAGCGCCCCTCGGGTAGAACCCAGAAGCGGCCCGAGGTGGCGTGAACACCGGTGCCCCGGAAGACGCGCCCCGAAGCCACAGCCCTGGATGCAGGGGCGGCGGACCCCGCCCGCAGCCCCGGGACTCCAAACCTCCCTCCGAGGGGCGGGGCTCGAAGCCGGCGAGCGGCGCTCCCCCCAACCCCCACGCCACGCCAAGGCGCAGGCGCAGGCGCGCGGGGTGCGGCCGCGGCGCTGAGAGCGGCGGCGCCAGGCGCGGGAAGATGGCGGCAGTGGCGGCGGCGGCGGCGGCCGAGCAGGTCTGGGAGCCCCGCCGCGGCCGGGGGCAAGAGAGACAGGGGAGGCCCGGGTCCTGCCGGTGGGGCCCTCCGCGGGGCTGGCTGCCGGGGGAGGCAGCCGGGACGCGAGGGCGCGCCGGGGCCGGGGGCCGGGCTCCAGGGGGGCGGAGCGGGCGGGAGGAGCTGTCCGCAGCCCGGGATGCTGGCGAGGGCCGCCTGGGACCGCGGGCAGGGGCTCCGGGCCGAGGAGGGGGAGCAAGCCGCGGCCCTCGGCCAGGCCCGCTGCCCCCCGGCCGGGCTGAGGAGGGGTCGCCGCCTGAGGGGCGGGGAGGCGGCCGCGGCAGGCGGGAGCCTGCGCCAGGACGTGCCGGAGACGTGCCCGGCACGGTGGCCAGCGAAGATGCGGGTAAAAATAGCCTCAGCCTGCGAGCGGGGAGGGCTTCCCTGACACCCGCCAAGAAACAGTCAGCTGCTGCCTGGGTGCCAGCTTGCGGCCACTTCTTGTGTCTGCCATCCCCGATATGCAGACATCAGGTTTCTCCTCCCGTTTTGGTTTTAGAGATTTAGTCACCAGTTTAAAACTGCCTCCTGTCCAGTTGGTTTAAAATTATTTGCTAATGCTTTATCAAGTATTTCCTGATCTGCATGGTAAACTTGTAACTTAGAGTAGTTTAAAAGGCTGTTATTCCTCCCCAAAGCGAGCTCTACGTATGTATACGCATATATGCATGCATCTGTTACCTATACATACCTGTCGTTGCTAGGGTCTTTGTTAAAATAAAAATAGTTTTCATAGTCACTTTCTCCTTAACTGTTATTCCCTTTACAAAACTATGATATGGTAGTTTCCTTTGAAAAAGTCTCATTCTTCAGCATCGTTGGAAGAATAAATTGGAGTCAAGTTGCCAGCATTCTGTTCCCAGAAAAGACCTTCTTAACTAATTGACTGCTTTTAGGGACCTAATAGAGATACATAACCGGAACAGTCATTCCAAGGGGCATAGAAAGCAGAAGACATGAAATCTGCCTTCAAGGAGCTTCAAGTCAGATTAAGTGCAGAAAAATCAGCCACAGGGGCAAGCTACTGATCTAACAGTATAAAACCTAAAGGAATGAGTGAAAGTGAACGGAGACACAGCTTCTGGGAGTTGTTGAGACTAAAATTGTTCCTTGGCTTTCCACATTTCCCTCCTGATTTATCAGCTCTTGTTTCAGCCTGTTCTTTTTTTTTCATCCACATCACTTATGAATGCTCTGGAGTTTCCACCAAGGTTCTATTCTTGCTTTACACAGAAACTGGGCAGAGTGGCCCATTCCTTAGTTTCACTTCAGAGTAAAGCATTTATGTCTCCACCGTGAACTGAATTTTCCACAGGCACCCCAAACTGAAAAATGTACAAAATTGGATCTCATCATATTTACCATTAAAAGGGCTCCAGGGGCGCCTGGGTGGCTCAGTTGGTTAAGCGTCCAACTCTTGGTTTCAGCTCAGGTCATGATCTCACGGTTGATGAGTTTGAGCCCCTGCATCGGGCTCTGTGCTGACAGTGTAGAGCCTGCTTGGGATTTTCTGCTTCGTCTCCGTCCCTTCCCCGCTCATGCTGTCTCTCTCAAAAAAAAGTAAATAATTTTAAAAAAGGGCTACAACCATCCATTCACTTGGTTAACCGAGCTAGAAACTTGAGAGCAGGGCCAGTTTAAGGGAGCTCAGAAAGGACCCACACTTGGTTTAATGCTCTGCTGTCCCTGGATTCCACACATTATGTAGCAGGTCCTACCTGGGAGTCACCTTAGAACCTTCTGTGTCACATACAGCCAATCAGTCACCAAGTTCTGTAGTTCGTCGTCTTTTTTTAATGTTTCTTGTTTATTTTGACAGACGAAGATCATGAGTGGGGAAGGGCAGAGAGAGAGAGAGAGAGAGAGAGAATCTTCCTCTTAATGCCTCTCCCTGTCATCTCTTCATCTAAAGCTCAGTCAAGCTCTCCTTTGGACTGTTAGATAAACCTGCTGTTGATATCTTCATCTCTGAACGCTTCTGTTGCCCTTGATCTCTTTTTGGCACATGAATTTGATTTTGCTGTGATGCAGATCTGATTGTATCACTAACCTATTTTAAATCTTCAGTGGTTCCCCATAACCTTCAGGATACAGTCCGTTGTTCTTGACATGGTAACTTACATCCATTCATTTACTGGCACCTACCCACATCTCGCACCTTATTCTTTGCCCCATTTCTGTACTCCTCCTTTTCACGGTCCACAGAAACTACCAAAATCGGTTCATACTGATGTGACTTGTAGTCACAGTTTTGATGCTGTTTCCTTTGCCTGGAATACCTTTCCCTGCACTTTTGCCTGGCTAACTCCCATTTATCCTCCCAAAATTCAAGTGAGATCTCAGCCTTTCTTAACCTTCACCTGATGCCCCTGCTTGCTAAGTAGAGTTACGTTCCTCTTTTGTACCGTGTCAGTAGTGTATTTGCTACTCCTGCACTTGCCATGTTGAACTGGCATTGTTAGTGACCTGTCTGTCTACTGTCCTGGCCTGTGAGGAAGTTCACTGAGGGCAGTGCTATGGCTTGCTTGTCTTGGTGATCTGGAGCCTCTGGCATATAGTAACTCTTCAGTGAATTATAAATGCATCAAATTGAATATAATGATGTACATGAATTGGCAGAGAAGAGTAAAGAATGCCTCCCAGGAGGGATCAGTTTTGCCCCCTCTCCTATGTAGACCTGTATTCAAGCCCTGACTTTTAAGTTGCCCCTACTGTGTCTGTGAAAATTAGAAGAAAGCACACCTTCCTTAAGGTGTTCTATACCTTCAGCCCAAATACTTTCAAAATGAACATTCAGCTCTAAGAGGTCTGCAGTGTCAGTGTACCCTCCTAGATGTTGCACCTCATGCAGACACACAACTTACATGATACTCAGCAACCTGTCTTGTGAAAAAAAATCTGGTAGTAGATTGAGGCGTCTTCTATATAGCCTTCCTTACCGCTTTGTGGAATTAAAAAAAAATTTTACCTGCCGCATTACTCACAATGATTATTCCTGTCCTTTTCCATTTTCCACAAGCCCTTAACCAGCCTGCTGCCTCGGCCACCGTGATATGATTCCAGTAGCCGTCTCCACTCTTCCTTGGCAGATGACCTTGCCTTTTCCATCCCAGAAGAAGATGTTTTCTCTTCTGGGTGTGAACTGTTTCAGCGAAGTCTATCCTTAAAGATTATCTTTTCTCATGTACTCTGTGTCAGCTTCATTCCTGCCTCCTGAAGGATCTCATTTCCTCCATTATCCTGCCCCACTCTGAGACCTTTGGCCTTTGCCCCGCTTGGCATCTTTCCCTCTGCGGTCCCTCTGAGTCTTCCCCCAAATTGCACGGAGAGGAGAGGAAGACACAGCAAAACTGAAAACACAGTTTTCTTCTGAGTGTACGTAATTCTCTAGCTACAGTCCTCACTTTCCTCTTTTCTCTTTTTGGACTCAAAAATAGATACACACATGTGGCATCTTTTCAGGCTGTTCCTGCTTACTCATTTGCTACTTAGAGTTCATCTTTGAAAGTCACAGAAGCACTTCTTAACAAAGCAAGTTCAGCAACAGTGCACATGCTTGGTTCTCTTACCATTCATTGTAGTCCTCATTTCCCACTGTAGCTGCACATTTAAATTTTCCCCAGACCATGTCCTTGGCTCTTTGTTCTCTTTCCTGTATACTGTTTTTCACAGTAAGAAGACGCACTCGTGGATTTAATTTACCTCAAGGCTAAGGATCTCAAATCTCCGTCTCTAGCCCTGACTGACCTAATACCCCATCCCTGCCTTCCCCTTGCCTTTGAGTCACGAGGTTATTTCTCATTCAGTTTAAGTGCAGCATATGTAGAATCTTCTCCCTCCTTCATTCTCCATACTTCACTAGTTACCATTCAGTAAACACGGGATTTTTTGAAGCTGGCTGCAGATTCAGTTAACTCTTCTCTTGAAGTATGTTTTTATTTTTTATTTTATTTTTATTTTTTTGTATCTTTTCAACCTGTCTTTTTCCATCCCACCTTAGTTCAGGCCCTCATTACCTCATTACCTCCAACCTCCATTATGACGACGTCACCCAACAACCTACTTAACTGGTATTCCTGTTCCGAACTCTCCTACAAACACCCGCATGTTTAGGATCCTGAAATATATGTCATTTATGTTCATAAACCTCCAGTGACTCCCAGTTAAACAGAGAGGAAGACTGGAATTTGTACCCAGCAGGCCAGGAATTTTCCCAACCAGCCCTACTTTGCACCTTTCTTCTCCCTACATTGCCGGCTCTGACCACCTACTTCCTGTTTCCTTGAAAAAATACTCCAAGCCATCCTGTTTCTCCTCTCATTGGACTCCACAGCATGTGTTGCCCAGACTATTGATTTTGGCACCTGAACACACAGAATAATTTATTGCATCGCTGTTTTAATAACGTGTAACATCTAGAGGATAAGGATCCTGTCCTATATTATTTTTGTATTCCTACTAGTGTTTGAGCATGAAATGTTTAATAAATGCCTATTCAAAAAAATAAATTGTCTCAGAGCTCTAAAATGTATGTAAGTTGGGTAGTATCCATTTCTACCCATTTTGTGTTTCTGATGTATTACCAAAAATGTCATTCAACCATAGTCTAAGTTAGAGGCTCTCCAACTTTCTGGTCTCAGGTTACTTTTATGCCCTTAAAAGTTGATGAGGATCCCAAAGAACTTTTGTTTATGTGGGTTATATTCATTGATATCTATTATATTAGAAATTAAACCTGTGAAAATTTGAAACACAGGAATACACAAGCACACATTCTGTTAGCTGGTAGAGCAGTGATGTCATCACATATTTAGCCTCTGGAAATCACTGAACATTCACGAAAGAAGGAGAGTAAAAAAGGTAAATAACATCTTAGTGTTGTTTTGAAGATAGTTTTTACCCTCCAGTCTCCTGAAAGAGTTCAAAGGGCTCCTCCGGGGCCCGCCTGCCCATACTTTGAAAACTACCGATCTAAGATAATATTATCTTTAGCCAATTGGGGTCATAAACAGCAAAGTGTGTCAGACTTTCCAAATTCTTTTCCTATAAATGAAAAAAATGTATGTAATGAAACAAATCATTGTAAGTCATTAACTTAAAAAAAAAAAAGATTACCGACTGTGGAATGTCTGTGTCAACTCTTCCCCCAAATGAGCTAGCTGTGCACTTTTAGTGACAATGGGACTATTCAGAGCAGAGAGTGGAGATGTGTTATCAAATAGTCTCACTAACGGTTCTTCTCTATTATCCCTCCAAGCAAAATAATGTCTTGCGTTGGAGCTTGCAACTCAACACCTAAAAGTTTATTTATGGCAAATATATCACTAACCAGTTCAGCTTTCTTTAGGTAGGAATTTGCACTTCATAAATAAATGCGTCAAAAGGAGTGGGTATGGCTGTTCCATTGTGCTGTATTTTGTTTTCAGCAAAGTTCCAATGGTCCCGTAAAGAAGTCCATGCGTGAGAAGGCTGTCGAGAGGAGGAATGTCAATAAGGAGCACAATAGTAATTTTAAAGCCGGATATATTCCAATTGATGAAGATCGCCTCCATAAAACGGGGTTGAGAGGGAGAAAGGGCAATTTAGCCATCTGTGTGATTATCCTCTTGTTTATCCTGGCTGTCATCAATTTAATCGTAAGTATCTGCCACAGAATTTTCTTGTTTTTTTTTTAAATTTTTTTTAATGTTTATTCATTTTTGAGAGACAGAGACAGAGCATGAGCAGGGGAGGGGCAGAGAGAGAGAGGGAGACAGGCTCTGAGCTGTCAGCACAGAGCCCAATGCGGGGCTCGAACTCACTGACCGTGCGATCATGACTTGAACTGAGGTCAGACGCTTAACTGACTGAGCCACCAGGCGCCCCAGAATTTTCTTGTTTTAATTACCATGGGGAATTCTTCAGTGAAATCATGGACTTTGTATAATTTCTTGTTGAAGCCCTCTTTCTGCTTTTCTATACGTGTTTTATCTCTTAAGGTTTTTTTTTAGATGCACAGTTACCCTTTACAGTTTGTACAAAGAGCCCCTGATTTGCTTACTCTCCAAAATATTATATGACAGAATCCTGTCTTCCTAATTTCACAACCAAGAGTGCATTTTATCAGATGTTCCTTCTTCTGATATATACTTTGAAAGACAACAGGAGATTCCATCTTTTAAATACTTTTAGGAAAGACCCACTAGCCTTTTCTTTTTTTATTTATTATCGAAGTGTAGTTAACATACAGTATTTTATTAGTATCAGACGTACAACATGGGGAGTCGACAGTTCTGTATAGCACTCAGTGCTCACCGTAAGTGTGGTCACCATCTGTCACATTACAACATTATTACAGTGTTATCGACTGTATTTCTTGTGCTGTACTTTTCATCTCTGTGACTTATTTTATAACTGTAAATTTGCACCTCTTATTGAGTTGTCGTAAATGTTACCTAGTATGCTCATATTGCCATATATTAATTTTATGTAGAAGAAAATGTTCATGGAGTATTTTAAATGGCTTAAATTTTGCAAGGGTAAAGTCAACTCAGCAGAAGAGACCTTTGCACCATGACTTTACTGCCTTCGTCTGTCCTAAAAAATAATAATCCTTTCTGTTTTCATTCAGCTTTTCCTACATGAAGTCTTACCTCCTCAACTAGATTTTAAAATTGTAAACCCTTGTTTGACAGCAAAGGGTTATATTTTATAGTCTTAAGTCTCTGTTGTCAAAGAATGAAAGGATGTGGCAGGCCAGTTTACACTAAGGTGCTGAGGACCTACTATGTTGCCTTTTCCTAAGATACTTGCTTTTTTAAAGAAGACTTAATCCAAGGTTGTAACTCTCTGAGGGTTAAACTTGAAACCCTCTGGCATGTGTGTAGATGACATTTTCAGAGGGTAGTTTTTGGTATAACTAAGACTGGTCGTGAGCATGGGCTGCAGCAGTTCTAAAGTCACTCCGTTTACTTTATTTTTGACTTCCAGTACTTTCAAGCCAGCCCGTTATATTTTACGTACATCCAAAACATTTGTGTCGAATTCTTCCCTTACATTGAAAAGAGCTGGTATTATAAATACTGGGAGCACATATTCTGAAATTATCTTATTTTAGAAATTTATTTTATTGGAAACTCCTGGTTAAGATGGCAGAATGAAGACTTTTTTTTATTCCCATCCCGTTTAAAAAGCTCATCCTAAGATGACAATGTCAACAAACAGAAATATCTGGAAAGAGAGCGAGAGGTAACTGAAATCCTAAACCATAATATATGAAGACCAAAAAGCAGGATGAGAAATGGCAAATAACTTATCAGAGAAGAGAAACTGCTTGTGTGTGTTGAAGAGGGGGCTGCAGGGTGTGTTCATGAAAGTGCCTTGCAGAATCATCGGGATTGCCTCAGGAACTGGAAATACAAGTATTTTGAAAAGCAGGAGTGAGGCAGGAACTGAAAACAGCTTGTTTGAAAAACCTATAGGAGGAGCCATGAGATCCCTAGCCTTCCTCACCCTTCCAGCCAGCAGTGAGGCCACTATGCCTCCTAACCCCACACAGTGTGTTACAGAAGGGAGGGGATTCTTCCTGCCTGAGGATACTGTTGTGCAGAAGAGGGTAGGGATGGTTTTCCATTCCGGAAGCAGGGAAGTGTGAATCCTGGAAGCACTGAGACTCTTTCCAGCTCCATCCATCTCCTGTCTCTGTCCTCTGTCTCCAGCTCCCCGGCACCAGGCACATGTACCCCAGGCAAGACATGAAATAGCCTTCTGTGGAGGAAAGATCTGTAGATATTGACGCTTGGCAGGTCGCAGTGAAAAAGCCACCTAATCTCGTACTCTGAAGCCTGTCTACCACAAGCCCACCCCACACAGAGAACTTTCTATGCGCTTTTTTAAGCCTCAGTGTTAAATATGAACACTGAGCCACCAGGGATCAATAGATTTTTTGGAAAGCTCCCAGAACTGAGAAAATGATGGAGACCAAAAACACCCAAGCCGTAGGGAAATAGAATTCAGGGAGAGAAAATGTGATGAATGGCAGAAAACAAAAAATTAAAATCAGTATCTTCAGAGAAATAAGAGTATATTACATCCATGGAACAAGAATAGCATGCCATTAAAAAGGAGTGATTAAAGAATAAGGAAGAACTTGTAGAAATACACAGGGATGGATGGATGGGTGGGTGGATGGAGAGAGAAAGAGATTGGAAGATAAAAGGAACCCTTCCAGAAAATTCAACAAAATTAAAGAATCAATTGAGGAAGTGTAGCATTCTGTTAATAGGAGTTTCAGAAAGAGAGAAGAAAGAACACTGGGGAGAAAGTTACCAAACAAGTCAAGAAAATTTCCTAGAACAGATCGAAAACTACCATTCTGGGTCCAGTGTCATGCATAAAAAAGACGCACACCAAGGCCATTACTGTAAAATTTAAGAAAACAGGGATAAAGAGAAGATCCTAAAATATTCCACAGGAAAAATAAAAACAGGTTATGTATGAAGAATACAAAATCACAGGCGTCGGACCCCTCAAATGCAGCCCTGGAAACCAGAAAGCAGGGGCCTTCAAAATTTAGAAAATAACACCAAACCTAGGAATGTATATATCAAGCTAGACTAGCCACCAAATGTGAGGGCTTACAGAGACATTTTTTAACCATGCACACTCTGAAAATTTACTTCACATAGATTCTTTCTAAGGAGGCCACTGGAGGAGGTGCTCACCAAAAGAAGTCATTAACTCCCAGAAAGCTGAAGAAAAGGACACAGCAAACTGGGTGTCTAGCACTGGAGAAGGACAAGGAAGTTCCAGCATGAAAGTGAAGGAAAAAATTCATGGTTACAGTTGTGTAACAGACCCAGGGCTAACAGACTGGACCAAGAATATAAGAGTTCCGGCAAGATTTCCTGAGACAGAAAACTAGAGCCAGTAGAATAAGCTATCTGAGAGGTTTGGGCTTTCAGAACATTTTACTGAGTGACATTTTACAGAAACATCAGAGGTTTTGAAAAGATTCAGTCAGGCTTCCAGAGAAACTCACCAACCTTGGTCTGATGCTAAAGAAAGGGAAATATGAAACTCCAGGAGACACAGAGTATAAGAAACGAACTGCTCTCTTAGTTACAGTATTTGGTTTGGGATTGAAAAATACTTACATGTTTGTAATACTGAAAATTCTGAACATGGATCTAGCCAAGACTTGAGATTGGGGGAGAAGAAATGAGATAAATTCTCATCTGGTAAAGTAGGAAATGAATAGATAAAACCTAAAAATGATGAGTGAAGAAATAATATACTCATATTACTTAAAAATACGGAATAAATTCTAGATGAAATACCTAAAATTGCTGAAAGTGGTTGTCCCTGGACGAGATGTGGAGGGAGCAGAAGAAATAAGAAACTGTTCTTTTAGCATATTTTTTTTTGACTCTTGGCTATTTGCCTTGATAAAAATGAAGTTGGTTTCGTTGATACGTGGAAAACCAATTGATGTGTTCATCACTGATGAGACATTTTGGCAATGATCTTTTCTGTTTTTTTTCCAGTTATGTTAAATGTACGTGACCTATCAACAGGGGGCTTGTTTCCTTTTTTAGATAACACTTGTTATCTGGGCTGTGATCCGCATCGGACCAAATGGCTGTGACAGCATGGAGTTCCACGAAAGTGGCCTGCTTCGGTTTAAGCAAGTATCTGACATGGGAGTCATACATCCTCTTTATAAGAGCACAGTAGGAGGAAGGCGGAATGAAAACTTGGTCATCACGGGCAACAACCAGCCTGTAAGTTACCACATCGGTTGAGGGACATTAGAGAAAAATTCTTAGTAAAAACCCAGTGTTGATTTTTGGAAATGGATATTTTCCTTGAGAGACTGTCCATAAGCATATTTAATAATATTGTTGGTCTTACAATCTATTAATGTAACATGCTTTCTTAATATCTGAATGTGGTATCCTTTTTTGTGGTAGATTAATTACTATGAGAATACAGAATGTACTCTCTCTCCTCCACATGAGGTAACCAGCACACGAAGCACCTTCCCAGGTTGGAATACCCTCTACTTTCTGGAGGCTGGAAGAGAATATGCCAGTCTAGTCTGTGGCAGCCCATGCCAAGTGGCTGCTATAACATAGGTTTTTGATGGAATAGAACCTCAAGGAGGTATTCTTACGACCCCCTGCCCATCTTAGGCCTAGGTCTGTATGCCCTGTGACCCATGGATTTGTGCAGAGCAGCGTAAGCAAACAAGCACATAAACCCTCATTCTAAAGACCTCTTTTCCCAAGTGGATAGAGAGGGGACAGACAGATGCAGTTAAAATTACTTGAAGTTAGGCTGTTATTATAAAGTGTTTTTGGTAATGTTCTTGATGAGTTTTGGATGCAGTCTCCTTTGAAAACATATTTATGATAAAGTGTTTTTCTGAAGATTGTTTTTCAGCAAGGGACAACAAAGCTCAGTGTAGAAAAGAACAAAACTTCTATTACAAGTGACATTGGTATGCAGTTTTTTGACCCGAGGACTCAGAATATCTTATTCAGCACAGACTATGAAACTCATGAGTTTCATTTGCCAAGTGGAGTGAAAAGTTTGAATGTTCAAAAAGCATCTACTGAAAGGGTATGATTTATTTTGTTTGCTTTCTTAATGGAAGAGAATTACTGTCTGAATTTACAAAGCGGGAGGGGAGTTTTGCTGTTTTATAGTGATGTGAAAGGATAAAAAACAATGGGAAGGGTTGATTTGTTCTAGATTTGTCACCTGATCATTATCAAGTCACGTCTCTCTATCTCAACACCTATAAAACGTGACCAAAAATAGTTGCCTTTCATATTCCATGGTTGAAACTCCTGTTCCTCTGTCTCTGATAATAATTCTCACTTTAATTTAGAAACACTTTTTATTGCTTTCTTTTTTTAATTTTCAGATTACCAGCAATGCTACTAGTGATTTAAACATAAAAGTTGATGGGCGTGCTATTGTGCGTGGAAATGAAGGTGTATTCATTATGGGCAAAACCATTGAATTTCACATGGGTGGTAATATGGAGTTAAAGGCAGTGAGTATTAAGAGTTTTAGAGAATTATTAGATTCTTGGGTACATAAATCCATATGTGGAACAGTATACCATTATTAAAAACAGTAATGTAGTTGTATATTTTTTGATATGGAAAGATGTTCAAAATGGACTTTGAAGTGAAAGAAAGTTACAATTTGTGAAATATCTCATTTTTATTTTGCAAAACATATATACGTTTATAAAAACCTGGAAAACTATGCCAGAATGTCAACAGTGGCTGGCTATGGGTAGCAGGCTAACAGCTAATTTTAATTTTATTTGTCTTTCTGCCTGCCTGCTGTTTTCTAAAAAAAAAAATTTTTTACATAATGATTCCTCTATTATTTTAAAAGGCAAAAGTAATCTTTTAAAATTCTGAAAGAATTCTCCAAGTGGGAATTCTCGAAGTATCCATTCTCTGAAGTTGTTGGGGTTTTACTTTTTAGTTAAAGGTTGTTCATATCCTTTCATGAGTTTTATATCTAGTGATGTGAAAATCAATTAGCAAGTGTACAAAATGTATTTCATTCACCCATCTATTAACTAGAAAGGAAAAAGATTTTGCCTTTATTATAGCTATTGAAAAGTGAAATTTTGTACTTCACAGATTATATCTGAACTTCAGTAAGTAACATATCTCATGTAAGGGAGCCAGAAGTCCAAAAATGGCTTACCTGCTGGGGCGCCTGGGTGGCTCAGTCGGTTAAGCGGCCGACTTCGGCTCAGGTCGTGATCTCGCAGTCTGTGAGTTCGAGCCCCACATCGGGCTCTGTGCTGACAGCTCAGAGCCTGGAGCCTGTTTCGGATTCTGTGTCTCCCTCTCTCTGACCCTCCCCCATTCGTGCTCTGTCTCTCTCTGTCTCAAAAATAAATAAACGTTAAAAAAAAAAATGGCTTACCTGCTTATAGTTCTGATCAAAGCATATTTCTTCAAAATGTCTTTGGCCACCTGCTATATGCAACTTAACTGAAACTAATTAAATTTATTTTACCAAGCATAAAATATGGCAAAAGTGATCTTGAACCCCAGGACTTATAAAATAATTCTTTCCTTTTATTTAAGTTTAATTTCATAGTTCTAGAAAAAATAAGCTTTGAAAAATTAAGTTCTTCCATTTTCATAAATAGCTTTTCTCCCTTAAAGCACATATTCCAATTTCTAAAAACAAAAAACAAAAAACAAAAAACAAAAGAAGAACATAAAACGTGTTTCTTGCTAGAAACTCAATAGCAATACTGAGTATTCTTTGCACATATTGTAAGAAGCTATTCCTCTAAGAGAGTAATGGTGAAGAATGGTCACAGGGGGCTATGAAACTCAAAGAAGCAAGAAGTGTGAGAGATAATGTATATAACCATTAGCAAGCTACCTAACTCCTTGTTTCCTATCTGAAAATTCTAACTGTTGTTAGTATGAGAAATATTAAAATACTTAGAAATGTACATAAACACATACCAGTTTCTCCACAGTTAGAAAAAAAAATCCAGTATTGAAAAGATAATTAGCTTTAAAATTCAGTTAACATCAGTGGTAGTTTTTAAGTGTATGGCTAATTATAAAAAAGAAAAAATTTTATCAAAAAAAAAATATTATCAAACTGCTTTTAAAGAAGTAACTGCTTTAGCAGTTAGAAGAAAGGAAAATTAAATGACCACAAGATGGCAACATTGGAACAAAATTTCAAAATTCATCACATACGGATTGTATTTATATCCTGTGCACAACTATCACTAGTCCATAGCCGCTTCCGTGACTTCATAACCAACTTTGTCTTATTGCTTTAAATACCTTCTGTAACCTGATAACTCTCACATTTGGAACTCCTGCTCTAATCTCTCCTCTGAACTAAGACTCGCACACCCACCAGCTGCCTTCTTACCTCTCCACTCCAGGACATAATACACATCTCAGATTCAACAAGTCTAAAATCTTCGTATCCTCCCTCCTTCCCCAAACATGCCTTTCTTTTTTCAGTGTCCCCCTCTTGTGAAATGGCGCCCATCAGCCCATCAGCAAAGCCTCCTGGCTCTGCCTTCGAAAGATAGAGTCTGGCCGCTTCTCACTGCCTCCACCACCACCAGCAACAGCACCCCTCATGGTATAAACCCACCGCTTCCTGCTGCACTGTTGGCTGCTTCCACTCTCGCCCCTGTAATCCGTTCCCTGTATGGCAGCCAGATGACCCTTTCTCAGAGATCACGTCACTTCCGTATTCAGATCCCTCCAAACAGCTTCCCATAGAATTCAGGATAAAACCCAAAAGTCCATTCCCTTTCCTAACATGTCTGGCCCCTAGTTATTTCTTTGACTCATCTCCTACCAGTCGCCTCCCGCCTGCTCTCTGCTTTAGCCCCACTGGCTTCCACCTGCTCTAGAACACCAAGCACATCTTCACACCGGGGCCTTTGCATGGATTGTTTCCTCTGCCTGCAGTGCCCTTCCCCAGTTTCCCACATGGCTTTCTCCTTCATATCACCCAGTTTGCACTGCACTGTGACGTTATCAGAGAGGCCTTTCCTGACCATCCTGTGTAAACACAGCTCCTGACTGGTCACTCTCTCTCTCTGCTTACCTTGAGTTATTTTTCTCCACTGATGTCTTATTTGTTTTACCTGTTCATGTATTTATTGTCTGCCCCTCCCCCATTAAAATGTCAACTGTGTGAGAACTTGGGCTCACCTGTCTCTTGACTGCTGTATACAGCACCTAGAATGGTGTCTAACACATGGTAGACATTTAATAATTATGTGCTGGATGAATGAAAAGAAGAAAAGGAAAGAAAGGAGGGAGAGGCTTAGGAGTTCCCAAAAAGAAAAGACCTAAACGTTCCTGAAACAGCCTGGAGAACCTCCAGGCAGTTTTCTTTGAATGCCTGGTCTTCAGAATTATTTGGTTTGAAACTTCATTTGTGGCATTGCGTAAACATTAGAAATCAAAATTAATTTTCTGTAAGAGAAAAACAAGCCTTTTTCTTCTCATCATCAGAAACTTACCAATCATTAGTAACTTTGTAAAAACTCTCTTAGGAAGTAACAAATGAAAATGATCTGAGACTTTATCAGTATCAGTCCCATATACTTAGGAATTTTGATATAATTTTAAGAGTGTTATAACTGTATTTGATCTACATTGTGAACTATTACTAAGAGGTCACTAGTTGAATCTTGACAGTGGTTTTGTTTTCTTTGTTGTTGATTTGGTCATGACTTTACTGTTTCTTACTACATATTTTTCTTGTTAATATTCTAAGTTTTGTTTATTAACTTTGTTCTGTCACCACTTGTGGAGCTAAACAAATTGTGTTACTATTCTTCTCCTAGGAGAACAGCATCATCCTAAATGGAACCGTGATGGTTAGCACAACTCGCCTACCTAGTTCCTCCAGTGGGGACCAGTTTGGTACCGGTGACTGGGTACGCTACAAGCTCTGTATGTGTGCAGATGGAACTCTCTTCAAAGTACAAGTAACAGGCCAGAACATGGGCTGCCAGATCTCAGACAATCCCTGTGGAAACACTCATTAGAAGAACCCACGAGGCCACCAATATGTTCATATCTTGACCTTTTTTTAAGAGTGTGCATGCAAATCATGTTTTTAGAGAGTTTGCGATAACTCTTACTTTATCCGCAGAGCACTATTGTATCTATTATATGACCTCCATATTGAAAAGATTCTCAGAGAGCCTAAATTTTAGCACATTTCATTAAGTTGCACTGATCTTCAAATGGCAATTCTCTAAAATAATTACCAGAAGTGAATAGAAGCAAAATTAATCTGTAAAGAAGTGTTTTTAAAACTCCACTCTTCCTCGTCTAAAGAATAACTCTTTAGGCCACTCACTATAAGAAAGCTTTTGGTAACTAACGGGGATACATCCACTTAAGATGGTTGAAAGGGCCACCATTAATAAATGTCACATGCTCTGTCTTTTGGCTTCCGAGAGAAAAGACAGATTTTTGATGCATTAATTTTCAGCTGTATTCTCAATGCAAGTGAAGTCATTAAAGAACTTCACATATGTGAGCTGGCATGAAACTATGGTTCCTTAGTTTTGCACCAGGATGAAAATACTCTGTAATAGAATGTTTACTTGTTAAATACTGATAAGTCGTGTTCACAGTGTGGTAGAAATTGAAGCACCATCTCAGCTTTAACTAGCAAACGATGATAGCGGTCATCTACTGTGCATCTTACACACCCGAGGCACTGTCCCAGGCATCTTGTGTGTGCAATCTCTAATTCTCACCACAGCTCTGCATGTAGGTGTTACTATTCCAGTTTTACCCATTAGGAAACTGAGGATCAGAACAGTTAAAAAGCTTGCCTGATGTCACATGGAAAAGAGCAGGGTTGAGATTGGAATTCACATGGGATTCAAATGAAAATGTACCTGCTTCCAACTCCCATGTTCTGTTCACTATCTGCACTGAAGTCTTAATTATTTAAGACTCCAGAAAAATGAATGAAGAGTAACTCAAACTTACCTAAGTAGATAAGAATCTAACAAAACAGTTATGCTTACTCAGGTTTAAAAATAAATAAATAAAATGGCCAACAGCTATCAGGTTTTAAACTAGCTTAAGCCAATTCCAAAATTATAATTTAGAGAAGTCAAATTAGTGTAGGGGTGGGTTACCCCAGTTTCCTAACTGATGGGCCTTGGCACTTTGGAGAACCTGAATTGGGTAAAAGGATTGCTAACTTACACCCTCAGCCCTCAGGGGAGCGCAGTGAGAAGGGAGAGGACAGGACGTGGCCCCAGGCAAGTCCTGGTGGCTGGGGATGGCTGGGAAGGTTACCACAGCCACGTGCCCTACAAATAGTCCCCTTTGCAGTGTGCGCCATGCCTTGAACAAAGTTGGGAAGCGCTGGAGTTAAGGGTGTTGATACAGGAAATAATTTTTAAGTAATTTTTGAGTAAGTATGAGACTTGATCTCTGCTCCTCATATTACAATCCCATCATAATGATCAACCCTCAAGCCAGTTGACTTTTAAGGTATTTTATATTTGACTTAAAAGGGACTCTCTGGTATTCATCAGACACACAACACCAGGGATGGAGTTTTCAAAAACAGTTTGCTGTAAAATAAGCAGTAGCGATGAATGGTAAGCCCCACTCTGCATTCAAGTACAACAGTATTCTGTCATGGTCTTTGAACTATGTAGATAAGAAAATCAATACAAAAAGCAATTTGCATTCACTACAATCACAGTTCTCTCTGATAGGACAACCAAATGCCTTAGAGATTATGAACAGTCATTAAAGTATTTAAAATAGATTGACTTACTATGTAATACTGAGTGCAGTTTTTAAAGGAAGGGGAAAAAATTGAACTTAATGACCTCTGAGTGTTACGATATTCAAATCCTATTTGAATATATTCAGTGTCATTTAATATTTGAGTGATACTCAGAAAAATCCATTGGAATTTTCATTCAGATGCTCAGTATATTTTTAATTTTACATTCTTTATTTGTCTGTTTTATTTAGGTTTTGAAGGTTTCTTTAAATATTTTTACAAAAACTACAAAACACTATGTTACAGAGTATTATTTATTGAATATAATTCATGAAACAATCTATTTTTATTCCTCTTTGAGAAATACTTGTGTTTTTGATACATCTCCATTAAGTGCTTTTAATGAGAGGATATTTTGATGTTTTTATAGAAGTGATTGTTAAGGTAACAGGTAACATTTTTTTAGGACATTTTGCAGGTAACCCTTGCCTTTTCCTTGAGATGTAGTCCTGGAAAATTCACCGGAAAGGAGATTAAGAACAAACCGTCCATTTTACCTGTGATCTGTTTTGCACAATGGCAAAGCTTTAGCTACGCATTCTCACCACCAGATGGTATTTTCCTATAAACTGAAACGTTAGCTTTGCCTATTTCTGCTGGTTGTACCTCCCCTGCATTGAGCACGGACATGACAAGCAGCAGACTCCGGCAAAGTAGACGGAGACAGGACCCCAGGAGAAGGGGCGTGGATACATGCTTGTTTAACCTAACCGGAGGTAGGTTACAGTGACAACAGGGACAGATGAAACGAAAGCAGAGTACTTCAGAAACCGTCCAAAGGGCAGTTAGGAAAATGTAAAACAACACAAGGAGGGACTGCCTATTTATGGGCTGCAAGATTTAAAAATTTTTGTATTGTTTTTGCATTATGAAAAAACAAATTTTGTGTGATAGTTTTGATGAAAGGTGGAAGTTCTGCCTAGTTTTGAGTGAATTTTTTTTTAAAGGATGAGAATGTTACAGTGCTAAACTTGACAGAAAAGAAACCATTGAAATGCTGATAATTTTAGTAGTCTTTTAAGAAGTGTTGAGGGGGCAAAGACTACAAATTATGCCATACAAAGACAACCCTGTAACTCTGTTTTGGATTGCTAACCTGAGTTTCAGTTAATTCAGTTTGTAATAACTATTAATGATCTCTGTTTACAATAAAGACTCTAAATTGTTTGCTGTTGATTTTTTTAATGGTTTAAATTAAGGTTCCTACTTAATCGTTCAAACATGATGGATTTAATTATAGCTTGATAATACTTAAATACACTGGTATTTGTATAATCTCTCTGGAATCCCGGAGCTTACAGTTCGAAGCTGTCCAGTTCCTGTCTGGACAGTCCTACCCTCTGTGCATTGCAGAATGTCTCTCGAGTGGCTCCTCCCTCAGTGTTCCAGGGGAATATGTGTCCTGTCACTGTGGCAAGAGGCCAGAGCCTGAAGGATGAAAGGGCGAAGGTTTGCCACGGGGTGGGCAGACAGGCTCCAAAGGCAGATGGGTGGAGCCTCAAAGGCTCAGGTCTAAATCCCCACCTGGCTAGATCCAGATAGAAGACTGTTGGCACACTACCTAAGAACCACAAGGTATGCCTTTGAAACTGTTACCTGTGTTGCCTTCCTCCTACACCTTCCTTCTACAACTACCTTCTGCTTTTGTCTTCTAATTGTTTTTACTACTTTCTTTAAGAATTGCCTCTTTGGTTTTTGTTGTACTTTGTTTCTTCTACTGTCTTCTCCCTCTCTCACCCTCTGACACACACACCCAGTATCTCTAACTGCTTCCTCATGCTTAGCCTTGAATGTGTCCATTTAAAGACTGACATTTTACCTAATTGTGTTCAGTTTCGTCAGAAAGTTTTTCTGGAGTTCACTGTGGTTCCTTACCTAATACATAGAAGTTTGTATGTAGTATATATAATTTTTCTTTACAAATTAGCATCTTTCACTTTAAGACCTAAAATTATCCTTATCTAGCCTTTTTTGAATTCAAATCTATTAGTTAGTATATAAATCTCTTCAACTTTGAAAGAACCAGGTCAATGAAAATCTAACTTACGCCCCCATAAGTATTTTTCAATCACATGTTTCTCAAGTAATGTGCCTGTGAATAATGACTAAATTTTTTGATTGTTCATATTGTTACATTAACTTGGTATACAATTGTACTTACAATGACTGCAGCTTTGAATACAGAAACAAATATCTTTCTGGCTGTACAGATTCTGGTATTGTCTGAGAGGCACGTTATAAAAATAAATCACTCCTCCATGCTGTAGGGCACCTTTACGCTTCGTGGCCATGTGTACCTGGATATAGGTGCCCTTCAAAAGTAGGAGAATTGACCTTGTATAAAACTAAAGTTTAAAAGTTACATGTTAAATTTCACTCCATGCACTTACTCATCCAAACAACATAGTGGCAGATGACCGACTATTGAAAATATAAAACTTGGGGGACAACGGGGAGAGATTTATATATGTAGTTCTTCTAGTCCTTAAAAAAATCAAGCAAGAGTTTCTTTTGTGAATTGAGAGAGGGAGAGAGAGAGAAAGAAACATGCCCTTCTGGGAGCATACAGCCTTTTGAGGAGTTTACTATCCCATTTTCTTTAAAATATTTTTGTGCATACATTTGGCCATTGTAACTTGTAGAGGCTTATTTTGAAATTTTTAGTTTCTTCTCAATCTTTGGTGAAAAAGATACTTATGTTTCTATAAGTTTCTATCTGTATTTCTATCTATCTATTCTATCTATCTAATTTCTATCTATATATTATTACATCTTCGTGGTTCTGATGCAGAATATCCTTTTTATAACCCATTTTGTTTATGTTGCATCTAAATAATTTCAAAAGAATTTGAAAAGTTATAAAAAATTTAATGTTAAAAAAATCAAGAGTCTATGTGGATCCTGAGAAACTTAACAGAAGACCATGGGGAGGGGAAGGGGGGAAAAAGAGAGGGAGGGAGGCAAACCATAAGAGACTCTTAAAAACTGAGAATAAACTGAGGGTTGATAGGTGGGAGGGAGGGGAAAGTGGGTGATGGGTATTGAGGAAGGCACCTGTTGGGATGAACACTGGGTGTTGTATGGAAACCAGCTTGACAATGAATTTCATATCAAAAAAATAAAAAATCAAGAGTCTCCTTTGTGAGTTGAACTTTCCATCCATACAGTTCACAGTTTAGTGTAACCGGATGGCTTGTTACTCACATAAACCACATAGCTGAT